TACCCAGGGGGACAGCTTGAGGCTCTGTCTCAAAAAAAAAAAAAATGGTTAAATGGATAAACTTATTATGTATATTTTACTACAATTAAAAAAACTGGAATAAAAAATTTAGTTACTGACTTTTGAGTAGCAAAATAACAAAGATCATATCTTCCTCTCTGTTCACCATGACAAACTGTAGAATAAACATGTTACTAACTATAGGGGGCACTGCACATATCTGGGGTGTCTTTTTTTTTTTTTTTTTTTTGAGACAAGCTCACTCTGAAGCCCTGGGTAGAGTACCATCGTGTCACAGCTCACAGCAATCACAAACTCTTGGGCTCAAGTGACCCTCTTGCCCCAGCTTCCTGAGTAGCTGGGACTACAGGTGTGAGCCACTATACTCAGCTTGGTTTTATTTTATATAATAATGTACCAGCATACAGTCCATCTGGCTTTATTTATTTGTAGAGGCTTAGGGTCTTACTCTGCCACCCAGGTTGGAATGCCTAGGCTCAGGCAATCTTCCAGCCTCAGCAAAGCCTTCCAACATGAAACCTCCTAAATTTCTGGGTAGTGAATAAAATCTTGGCTGGGTGTTACGCGCCCTTGAACGACATTCCTGCATCCTGTTGGGATGAGATGGCCCCCATCTCAGCTTTATCCTAGTCCCTTCTGGGGCTAGGGATAGGACAGGACACAGTACAGGGCTCTGGAAATCCCCGTGGACTGCTTAGAAACATATAACCACACAATAACCTCTGAGCAAATGCATATTTGCTCTGGGTAGCTGAGCTTGCAACACACTTGACATTTATTTTTGATTCTCATACCCATCCTGTGAGACAGCCCTTTCCACTTTACAGATGTGAAAACCTAGGTTCAGTCATCCTCAGTAACCTGCCCCAGGACAGGGGGCTGAAGAGCTGACAAATCTTACACCATGCCCCCCCACCACACTTCTGTCTTCCAATTTCACATCAGTGAACAGTCTGGGTGGTTTTGGCAAAGCTTCTTCTAAGAACTGGCTCTTAGAAGAAACTTCTGGCCATTATCTGACTGAATGTCATATACAAGCACAGTAGGAATTTGCATGAGAAGTCTTTTCCCTAAACCTGATTACCAGCTCTGCCTCATAAATTGCTTCATCCATGAAAACAAGTTCCTAGGCGCCATGGCCAACTTTCCAGGAATTTGATCTCCTCCTTTAGCCTAGCCCATACCCTTGGCCTCCCTGTCAAGAGATCCAAGTGGCCCAGAGCAACCAAGAGGCCCAGCTTCCAGTAGTTCACCTGGACCTGCCCAGCAAACCAAACACCTTTGTGAAACGCTCTGTGTCCAGGATCCGTCCATAGCGCAGAGTGAGGTAGAATGTCTGCTTCCCATTGTACTGCTTGATACGCACGAATAGATCCTGTGACCATTCCTCAGTGTCTGTCAGGGGTATCACTTCAGCCACAAGACAGTACGTATCCCGCCGCCAGCCCCAGAAGTTCAGGTGAGCTACTCGCAGTATGGTGCCAGAATCGTTCACATACAGGATGCCCACTAGTCTCCGGAAGAAATAGCTCATCCAGCACAGCATGGCCAGGGCAAAGCTAGCCAATCCACTCATGAAGCACAGAGAGTTGAAAGTTATGAGGCCCTGGGAGTACAAGTAGAAGCCCGGTGGCCAGGCCACCACTGTCAGGGCAGTCTGTGCCACCTTTAGCCGAGACAAGAACCCAAAGGCCCTGATGGCATCAAAACGGTAGACCATGTGGAATTTCTCAGTCTCTGTGCCTGGTGGTTTGTCCTTTGAGGTGGGCGACCTGCTCCCTACCCACCTCTTGGAATGCTCTTGCCTACTGAAGTACCAGAGCCCATGGAGAGGCCTTCCCCATGCAGCTGGTCCTGGCCCCTGCAACCTCAGCACAGTTCGCAGGAGGGCAGCCTAGAAGGGAGACAAGAGACCATTTTTCTAATGGAACTCAAGCATGCCAATCACACAAAGAACATCTGCAAAGCACTGCACCCAGAGGGTTCCCCCAATCCTTCAACTTTACCATTTAGGCAACTAAGCCCATACTGGATAAGAAATCACAGCTAGTGAGTGTAGCACAGTCTGGCTTTCAAACTGGTCCTCTTTCCTCTAGGCCAGTAGTTCTCAACCTCCCTAATGCTGGCCCTGTAATACAGTTCCTGTGGGTGCTTACCCACAGGCTGAGAACCGTTGTTCTAGGTAGTTTCAAGTAAGTATAGGAAAGAAGGTGCAGTCTTCACTCAACAAATACCTAGGGAGGGCCTACTCTGGGCTGGACACTAGATCCACAAGGCTGAGTGGCATAGGAACAAGCAAAAAACTAAATAATCAATGTTCTAGTGCAAAACTCGAGCAACAAATCCATGAAATATTTTCCGCAACAAAGTTCCAATTTTTTGTCTGGTTTATGAGTTATCTTGGATGCTTGAGAGAACTGCTGTTTGTTCTTAGCCTCATTTGGGGAATGAGGAACAGCAGAAGAGGAGTTAGGCAGGGAGGCTCCAACTTCTAGCACAGGGATTTTATTAGGTGAGTAGTGCCATGGAAAAAACTCTGGGCTTTGGAGCTACAGATGGGTTCCAACCTTGGCTCTAACGATCACTAGCTGTGGATCCTTGTTACTGCATCTCTCTGAGCCTCAGTTTCCCCGCCTTTCAAAATGGAGACTCAAGGCTCGGCGCCTGTGGCTCAAGCGGCTAAGGCGCCAGCCACATACACCTAAGGTGGCGGGTTCGAATCCCCACCC